AGCTCAAACAATCCGCCCGCCTCGGCCTCCCAGAGTGCTAGGATTACAGGCGTGAGCCACCGCGCTAGGCCCTCAATTTTTATTTTTAGGTGTAACAACTGTGTTGAGGTTATATTTTAAAAGAGTCTTTGTCTTTTAAAAATATATTTCAAAATAAATATGAATGAAATTATATATCTACGATTAGCTACAAAATTATCAGGAAGTATAGACAAAACAAGATTGGCTATAGTTTAATAACTCCTGAAATGGGTAATGGATCTGTGGGGATTCATTAAACTCTTCTACTTTTTTACATTTGAAACTTACTAAAACAAAATTTTTTAAAATGCAGATTACTTTAAAAAGGTAAACAAAAATTTTAAGCTATTCTTTTATCTTTCTAGCTTCAATCTGCTTAACTTTTATTTGTTGAGAAAAGCATCATAATTTGACGATGTTCTTTTAAATTTGTAAGCAGTGATATAAAAATGATCACATATTTAGTAGCTTAAAAATGAAAAAGAACTGGATAGAATATCATAATCAATTAGTTATACAGTAAAAAGGAAGAGCCAAATAGTTTGGGTGAAAGAAGACTGACAAATAGAAATCAGAAGGAGCAGTAATAATTAAAATCAAAAGGATACACGAAAAAAAAACTCTTGGGGAGATGGAGTAAAGAAAATAACAAAGGGCTGAAAACATTCTTGAGTAAACACATGTAGGGCACACAATGAATAAAGGAGCTAGCAAGAAAAGAAAGTACAGAGTAGGGAAAAAAGGATCCTAAAGACACAGGATAACATACCGGTTGCCAATACATTATTGGCATTTCTTGTTGGCTAATGTCAACATTATACAGAGACCAGCTATCTCTTCCCTAATCATTCTTCTTCCTCAACCCCCATGGAATCAGAGTGAATCAGTTTATATTGAAGTCTACAGTAACAAACTTTCTAGTTCAGGGTCCTTATATTTTAAAATAAGACAAGACTAAGGTCCAGAAAAAAAGCAGTATGACCAGACACACACAAAAACGTGGATGTAGAGCTCTGTGCAGATATGTTATATTGTGAAAAGGTACAGGTAGGGCAGGAGAATGACATACCCTTAACAGCGAGTGCTCTCAGCTACATCATTTTCGATCTCTAATAATAACAAATAATGTAGTAGCCAAGATGGCTGGGAGATAAATAGGATGAAGGGCAGGGAATAATGGCTAAGGACAAGGTGAGAAAAGAAAAACATAGGGAAATCAATGGAGAGAAACAACAGAGACCATCTAGTAATGTTTGGAAAATATCTTGGAACTTGAAATTCAAACCTACTAAGATATTTTAATAGCAAAAAAAAAAAGCCTTCTTACTTAGGGTCAAATAAAGGTACTCAGCATTACTGAGGAGATTATTTAGAATAGTTCTACAGTTTTGCTTATAACTTTCCTTAATTAGTAAAGAAATTTGGCACAATGACAAACATTGCAAGATTAAATAATATGGAAACAGAATCTAATGACCATTATGACATCCTGTGCGGGTTTTTAAAAATTTCTTGGTTAGCTTTCTTCTTAAAACTTAGAAAACACATACATATACGCGCAGAGTAATCCATCTAGAAAGTGACCACAATAGGCACAGGATGCTGTATTAAGAAGGATATAGTAGTTTTCCTTAGAGATCTGGGGGTCTGTGATTTGTACTTCTCCAAGAAATGACTCAGAACTAACTTCGGAACAACAGATAATCTTTTCACATCATCACCAGTTCTCTCTCCTTTCTCAACCTTTCTTCCTGCTTTTCTGTTCAAATCTCTTCCCATAGTCCACATGAAACTATAGGGCCATATGTACCCTGCCTCCTTAAAAAAAAAAGAAAATCATCAATGGCAATTAGGAATGTGTGCTAAAAGAAGCTAAACATGCACAGAAAGTAGCATGATACATGGAAGGTCTTTCTTTATTCATTTTTAAATAGCTTATGAACAGGTAATTTTAGATCCTCCAATCTGAGTCAGATTCTACTTCATCTTTTACTGAAAAGTCTGATAGGCCTTTATAAGCACAGTTGTTGCAATAACCTTTCTATTAGGTCATTGAATGTCACTTTGATAGTAACTTGTAAAGAAAATCAGCTAAGATTTCTACCAACTCTACAATTCTAAAAATTCAGATAAAAACATAAAACAAGTCAGTTTTTTCATGATAGAATGTGAACAATCATACCTATTTAGATTCTAAACCTAACCTACATTCACAGCCTCTTTAATATTGAGGCCATAAAATCATACCTTAAACTGTTTACCCAGTATTTTTCATGAAAAATTACTTCCTTTAAAATTTCTGTACTAACTGAAAGATCATAGAACCTTTACTTAGTAATATGAGGCTATTTTCTAAAAGTTTCTTTTCACTTTAGTTTAATCTGCCTGGAAAGGGGACAAAAAGCCTAAAGCAATATCCTGAAAAAAAAAAAAATCACACAAAAGTAGACATAATTCAGATCTGTGGTCCAGAAGTGTACTAGAGAAGGTAATTTTATTATAGTTTGCCTTGAGAAAAGATACCCCTATTCATACAAATTTGCTTCCTTTCTATGGGACAAAGTTATTTCATGTTTATTCTCAAAGAAGTTCTTAAAAGGATACGTGTTCCATTAACTCCTGATATTTTAAAGTCATCTAGTAGTTGAACAACCATTTCTCTATTTGGATCATTAGGGTCTGAATTGCGAACCTGTAGTGGGGAAGAGACAGTATTTAGCAAAAGACAAAGCCAAATGATGGGGGAGGAATACCTGCAGCAAATTAACTCCAAGGAAGAGCTTATACAAATCTATTTTTCAAACATACTAAAATTTCGGTAGCTCAAATAGAGAAAGAACTTACATAGGTAGTTCATAAGAGAAAATACGATCAACAGAGACTTTTCTAATTCAACCATTTTGCTACTCATAGTGTGGCCTCCAAATTAACTGCTGGTTACCAGGCTATGAGCAATTAAGTAGCTTTTGCAGGATGCAAATCAACTACAACATTAACCACACTGTTTATTCAGCTGACTTTTTTTTCTTTAAGTAGAAAAACTTTCTCAATGAAGGAAGCAGTATGTCAATTTACTCTGGAGCACAAGGCTCCTTATCTTGACATTTTGAAAAATACTGCCTTAGAGATCTCCTGGCCCTACACTCTCACTTTAGGAATAAAAAATCTAAGACTCTGGAGGAAAAAAATGATGAGACAGAGGACACACTGAAGTAAAGGTGGACCTAATCCCAGGTTTTCTAACTTGAGTTTAAGCCTTCTATGGCAAGTCATGACATCTTCCTAATTTATAACAAAACTGAAAACAAATTTGACAAAATTTACGCAAGTTTCCAAGAATAAATGGGATCAATATATATAGTATTTTTATATTATGTATTTTATAAAATATTTTCAAACATAAAATAAATGCTATATATTTACTTACACAATTTTCCTTTTAACCACAGTAGGAAAGGAAAACATTTACAGCAGTACTATCTGACACACAAAACATGCTCAATGAACATTTTTGTTCATTTGAAGGGGTTTTTTGGGTACATGTGTATAAGAATTCTAATTACAGCACATCCCACTAGTTCCCTACTATATTACGTGCATAGAATGTGTAAATACTGTCTTCTTCCTTTACCTCTTTAAGGATATTGGAAAGTAATAGAAAAAATTAGTCATGCTAAAGAGTCTATCATTTTCCCAAGTGTCTTAATTCAATAAAACTTTATAATGCTTTGCAGTTCACACATATGACCTCATACTCACTGATTTCAGCAACCGGATTTCATCTAGTGCAGTTTCAGTATAATGTTCAGCACTTTTAACTACTTTCATTGCCACAAATTTCTTCCCCCTAAGAAACAAACATAAGCAATTAAGACTAACTATCCTACACCTTTACTTTAGGAAGCTAAGATTTAGCTATAACAAAGAGACAGTGAGAAAGAACAAATATTTCATGTTTCCCTGTAGCCAAATAAGCTACTTCTAAAGAATCACTTGCACCTGTTAATGGCACTAACTAGCCAGATTTCATTTACAAGAAGAGGAAAACCTGTTCTCAGATAATCTCAGTTGCTGAACATTTTCTCTAAGTTAAAATCCACCTTCTGAATATCTCCCTGAATCCTAAGCAAAACTATGAAAAAATGATAAATAAGAGGAAAGACCCCACCACATCAGAAGTATCCCATATATCTGTATAGCAAAAGCTAAAACGTTAAAAGCTATTAGGTTATTAAGTATGAAATGTCCCATTTCCTTAAGTACTAAGTTTGACAGTTGATTATCTGTGACATTTCACTTTGTCACTTCTTGTTTTATTTTTATTGTGAAGGTACATCTTCAGTCTTTCAAACACACATTTTGGCTTGTGATTATCTTTCAAATTTTTTTAGAGCAATGTTTGTGAAACCATGTGTAAGTCAAAAATCTGTGTTATTTTCAAATATGAGCCCTGTCATGGAACCAATGCAGCACAGACAGCTCATAGTATCAACAGAGTGTTTGGAAAAGATGTGGCTAATGAATATACACAGTAAGTCAATAGTTTGACAAGTTCCATTCTGGAGATTTTCATCTTGATAATGAGCTATGCAGGTGACCAGAGACCAAGGTGGATAATGATGAGCTGAAAGCTGTAGTGGAAACAAATCCATCTCAACATACGTGTGAATTAGCAGCAAGGTTTGACATTACTATTCCAACAATATCGGACCCTTTGAAACAAATGGACAAGGTAAAGAAGCTGGATAGGTGGGTTCCGCATGAATTAAACGAGCATCAGAAGAGAAATCAGATCGAAGCTTGCCTTTCTTTGCTGTCATGACATACAGGCGAACATTTCTACACCATATTGTTACATGTGATGGAAAATGGATTTTTTTTGACAATCGCAAGAATTCGGCACAATGGCTGAATAAAGATGAAGTGCCAAAACACAGTCCAAAACCAAATAGTCATCAAAAAAAGCTCATGGTGTCTGTTCAGTTGTCCAAACAGACTGGTATTATCCAGTAGAGCTTCATGAAACCTAGTCAATTGATTACAGCGGATGTCTACTGCAACCAACTGGACAAAATGAGGATGCTTGTAATTCAGCAGCCAAGATGGTCAACAGAGACAGGACAATCCTCTTGCAAGATAACACTGACCACATGTCACACAAACAATGCTGCTCAAACTAAAGTAGCTGGACTAAGAAACTGTCATCCACCGTATTCACCAGACCTTGCACCAACTGATTACCACTTCTTCCAGGCTTTGGACCACTTCTTACAAGAAAAAATATTCAGTTCTTAACAAGGTGTGGAAAATACCTTTGGAGATTTCATTGCCACTTGCTCTCGAGGCTTCCTCGCTGCTGGCATAAACAAGTTACCATTAAGATGGCAAAACTGTGTCGATAGTTTAGGCACATACTTTGATTAACTGGACTGCTTCTTGTTTGAGATATAATGAACTACACTTTTGATTCGAAATAGGACATTTCATATTTAATGACCTAATATACTACTTTCTTGTAAGTAACCAGAAAAAATATCTGGATGAAAACAAAATGACAAAAATCATAAAAAATCAAATGAAAAAATATGAAGTACATAGATAGCAATTATTGTTTCATCAAAGAAAGACGGAACACTTTTAGGTAAACAGTCAGTGGTAAGGAGGTATTTTTATTGTCTGTAATTTTTATGTACAGAAAAATTTTAGACTACATGGTTAAACAAATCTGTTACAAAAATAAATAATTTCACGTTCGTCTATGACATTATTTACTCCAGTGAGACAACAACTATTAATTTACATATCATTCTTCCATTGAATAAACTTGTAATGCTTTGAATTTGGCAGTTCCAAGTGCTTTACTGATAATAATTTAATCAATCTTTTGTCTGTAAGGTAGAGAGGTAGACATTATTACTGATTCTGCATGAGAGTGAAATGATTTGTCCAGGAACACAGAGATTATTGTCAACCACAAAATTCTGATCAAGTAATCAGGCTAGAGATAGACTGGATCATCTCTGGAAAATCAGACAAAAACATACAGGCATCATCTAACTATTTTTCAGGACTACTAAAACTTACTGAATATCCCATGATAACCACACTGTTGAAAAGTGTCCCCAGCCCAACTTTCGGATCACGTGATATCTCCCATTGAACAGATCTCCGATTTTCACAAGATGATAACCTCCTGGAAGAAACAACAGGAGGAATATAATAAGAAGAACCAGGATAAGAAATAATCACTTAAATAGTAAGAAAAGGTATCCTACATCCAATTTTTCAACATCTATAGACATTTTATCAAATTTCTTCTATAAAATCAACAAAAGAAAATCTTTGATTGCTATCAAATCAGCCAGAGTATTACTGAGACCCACACAAAAATCCTGAATAAGATTAATGAAAACTTGAATAAGATTAATGATTTAGATTGAGCAAGTGATGCTTTGTACAACAGCTTTATCCACAAACAAAAATAAGCTTACGTGTCACAATATTCTTGTCACTCAATAATCTAATAGATTTATTTAAACATATAAATCTATTTATGGTTCCAGTCTCAGGATGTTTTTAGGAGAATAATAAATCCTATTTAGCTTAAAAAAAAAAAACAACAGGAAGACTTGCTTCTCTAAATAAAAACAAAACAAAACAAAAGAAAAAACAGAGAAAGGCCTGAAAAGGCTGCCTGCCAACAGTGGCAGGAATCCAGGTATTTTAATATTTATTTTTGCCTGCTGAGAATAGGAAGGACCAAGTTTTTCTCTCAGATGGTATGATACATTCTGTTATATATTCCTACCCAAGAAAAGATAACAGGCAACCTGATGACACAGTTTAAGTATCTGTAGTTTCAGTTTAACTTACCTTAGCAGCTGTCACTATGAGAAAAAATGAGAAGGTATTTTGTAAAAATCTACATACCAAGATGTTGTCACTGGTTACTTGTGGGTGACAGCATTGCAGATGGCTTTTATTTTCATTACTGTTTAATACAGTTCTGAAATTTTCTAAAGAAACGTGTACTACCATTTTTAAGGAGGAAAGAAGGTAAAAACATTTAATATAAAATTAGGCTTCAATAAATTACGTCAAACTAAGAGCAAATACTATTTCCAATATCTCAGAGAAAAGGATACAACAAGCAAAACCATCAAAGCTGTTTTTATGCTGATAGATCAAATAGCCAAATGAGAAACTGCAAAATAAACAGATCTTACTTAGTATCTCCTTCCAAACTGACCTTTACAATAATCATTGGGATCTTCCTGCTCATCATCATCAGATCCCAGAATCTCCTCTTCCTGCTCTGGTAGATCACTCTCAGAGTGGGGAGCAGAGCCTCGGTGTTGTGTTTCAGATCTATGAAATGATACAAAAATGCTCAGTCCACTTGGACAGAAGAAAATAGGACTTCAAGAAAATGTCATTATCAAATTCCACGCCCCCCAAACTAAACTTTCAGATAATATAAACAGAGTATTACCATGTGGCAGCCTACAAAAACATTAGGTATAGCTTTACCTCATGTTAGGAAAATACTACTTTTTAAAAAGTCAGAGATGATAGTTAAATAAAACCTGAAAAAATATATAAAAATTAAAAGGAAAAAATTATCTGAATCTCAATAGCCAAACATAACCACTGATAAAACTACTGGATTTTCTTCCAGTATTTTGTTGTATCTTTATAAAAACATTTATCCATAATCATGCACTTTTATATAAACAAATTTATATCCTGCTTTTTCTATTATAAACTTTTTTCATTTCTGTGAAATCTCTTAAATCTTAACATGCCTGCCTTAGAAATTCGCCACTTACTTTTTGGCACATTCTGCTCAGCGGGACACTTGATATGTTTCTAATTTTTCACCACTAAAAATAAAGCTGTTCAATATTTTTGGATAATCTTTATTCTGTATTTAGGATTATTCCTCTAAACTATTAAATAGGGGTTGAAATATTCTTCCTATTTATAACAACATGTTAAAATGTAGAAAATTTGGAAAGCACATGTTTTAAGATAACTCTTAATTTGAACAACTATTAACATTTTGGACTATTTCATTCTGGTCTCTGGCCATGAACACTTTTTAAGGATTATTATGTAGTATGATTGTTTTCTAAAAGGGTTGTACTGTGTTATCTCCCCACCAGCCACACATGTGCTTCTGGTATTAAAGTACTACCAAGTTCAGAAAACTCACACTTATTAGCTGCCTGTCTTCTAAGAGCTGTAAGCAAAAAAGGCAGGGTACATAGATAGCATACTTTCAATAGTAACAGGAGAAGACATTTTAATTTTTCATTTTTTGATATATACATTTTCATCAACCTGTTTCATCAGATTTTTTTCCCCAAAAGATTCAATGTAACAAAAAAAATGTTAATAGCAAAACCTGTTACATGGTACTACTGAGCTATTGAAACATAAGTAATACCTTGGTATGACTAATGATACAGATTTGTATTTTTGGTGGCCATTCCAACCTTCCTCAATTCGTGGTATGTTTTTTGTCCCCCAGGGTATAAAAGTAGCTAAAAAACTGCATGATTCAATGTTAAGTGAATTTTAAGTGAAAACATGTCTTTGGGAAACTTATTTAGTAAAGAACTGGTCTACTTTCCTAAGTGCAAATAACAAATTTAGAATAAACGATATTCCCAAATTTGAGATTAAGATGGAATTCCAAAATGGATTCTCTGATTCAAACTTAATGAAAGTAAATGATGTTGCCTTTTACAATTTTGATAGTAAGAACTACAACTGTGAAATTTCTGAGAAGCAGTGAAACACAGTAGTGAAAAACAGATTTGACAATGCTGGAATATTAGAATTCCTTGAGTATTGTGGGGATTGTAACATTAAAAACTATTTTTTATCCTCTAGTGTTACAGATTCAGGAAAAAGGGATTAAAAATAGGGAAAATTTTAAAACCAAAGAAAATAGAAGTAAAAATAAATTAAGAGAAAAAATTATTTTTTAAAGATTCAAACCATTTTTGAAAGCACATACTTTTGTGAAAAGTTGTTTGTCCTTATAAAACTGAACATAAGTAAACTATCATTCTCAGTTAAGGGATTGAAGACTGAATTATAAATTGCAAGTCACAATGTGAAGTACAAGTCTCCCATCCTATGCTGATACAGGAGAAAATCTCTTCTTATTCCAAATTGATTATCTAAATATTTGATTACCCTCAATATTTATTCTGAATAGATTAAAGGGAAAAAAGTCCTATTTTTAACTTTTAACTTTCACTTTAAATATAATAGTCTCAGTACTTTGAGAGGCTAAGGGAGGATCACTTGAGGCCAAGAGTTTGAGACCAGCCTAGACAACACAGTGAAACTCCATCTCTACCAAAAAAAATTAAAAAAATCAGCCAGGCTTGGTGAAACGTGCCTATAGTCCCAGCTACTCTGGAGGCTGAGATAGGAAGATCACTTGAGCTCGGGAGCACGAGGCTGCAGTGAGCTATGATGTGCCACTGCACTCCAGCCTGGGCAGAGTGAGACCCTGGCTCTAAAAACCCAAACAAATATAACAGCCCCCTGCTTCCATGGTTTCAGTTACCTACAGTCAACTGCAGTCTGAAAATATTACAGTATTTTGAGAGAAACATCACATTCACATTAATTTTTATTACAGTGTATTGTTACAACTATTCTATTAGTTGTTACCAATCTCTTACTGTGTCTAATTTATAAATTAAACTTTATCATAGCTATGTATGTATAGATAAAAAACACAGTATATGTAGGGTTTGGTACTATCCTTGGTTTCAGACATCCACAGGGGATCTTGGAAGGTATCCCCCACAGATAAGGGGGGTACCTGCTGTATATACTTACTGTCATAAGTGTCCACATTGCTTTTGTCTACATCACTGTTAGTCATCTCTTTCACATGCTGCATGGTCCTGTTTCCTCAATCCCAGTCTCCCTCTCGATTTAATCATTTGCACAGTACACATTTATCTGTAACTTCTCGAGAACAGTACATAGGAGGTAAATTTATTAAGACCTCTCAAATCTTTATTTTGGGTATAAAATACATTGCTCTGTTGCTTTCTAGCTTCCAGTGTTACTGTGATAAGCCAGATCAATGCCTTCTGATTCCTGAGCCTTAAAATAGGGATTGTTTTTCTCTCTGGAAGGTTAATGTTTTTCTTTTTTAGGATCTTCTTTTATCTCCATGTTTTGAAATTTCCTAAATGTTTTCTTAAAAGTCTATCTTCCCAAGTACTTCATACACCCTTGCAAATTAGAGACATTCTTCAGTTTGGGAAAATTTCCTATATTTCACTGAAAATTTAATCTTTGTCTACTCTCTCTGGAACTATCTTTTCAGTTACTGGACCCTCCAGCATACTACATTAATTTTCTTACATTTTCTCTTATATTTCTTAAGTTGTTTTTTTTTTTTCGTTCTATATTTTAGATTTATCTTCCTAACTTGTGTTGTTTTATAAATTTCTAATATATTTTAAATTTATTTTTTTTTTGCTTTTGAATGGTTCCCATTTTATAGACTCCTGTGTTGTTTCAATGATGCATTGTCTCCTTTTATGTTAAGAATATGATTTATATTAACAGTTTTACATTTCCTTATGATCCTTGTACTGTTTTGGCTTTTTCAAACTGCCCAGGCTTTTTACTAATGCCTCAGTTTCATACATGATGTCTATCAGACAAGAAAAGCCTCTGTCATAAAAAGACAGAACTAAAAACAAAAAGAGAAATTTTGAGGAAACAGAGACAGCTACTATCAGATCCTAAAAGTAATAAGAAAGATAAGATGACATGATTAAAGAATTCAAGACCACTGTAACTTTGATGAGTGTTAAAAGGACTTAGTATAAAAAATTTGAAGAATGCTATAGAATTTTCAGTTAATTAACATAATAAACTCAAGATCATTTTTCCTAGAACAAAAAAGGAGAGTTTTAAAATAGTTTCAGTTTGTGCTTTTAGACTCTTCATACCTATTTCATGTCTCAAGTATTTGTTATTTATGTTCAAAAGAAAAAAACTGGATGTCAGCACTTTAATGTTCTCAAAGCATATAAAACTTAACATCTACAAAACAGTACATCTACAAAATCTCTCTATAATAAACTGAAATGAACACAGATCAAGTATTAATAGTGGTATGGTTTCAAAAGAGTCAAAACAATTTATAACCTGGTTAAAACTCCACGGCCGGGCGTGGTGGCTCACACCTGTAATCCTAGCTCTCTGGGAGGCCAAGGCGGGCGGATTGTTTGAGCTCAGGAGTTCGAAACCAGCCTGAGCAAGAGCGAAACCCCGTCTCTACTAAAAATAGAAAGAAATTAATCGGACAACTAAAAATATATAGAAAAAAAATTAGCCGGGCATGGTGGCGCATGCCTGTAGTCCCAGCTACTCGGGAGGCTGAGGCAGAAGGATTGCTTGAGCCCAGGAGTGTGAGGTTGCTGTGAGCTAGGCAGACGCCGCGGCACTCACTCTAGGCCGGGCAAAAAGAATGAGACTCTGTCTCAAAAAAAAAAAATTCCAGTAATGTTGGAAAGAGAACTATACTTGGCTAGGTACAAAATGGGGCCATTGCAAATATCTGGGAGAAGGGCAGAAAGTAGTAGAAAAGCTTGTCATTGCCAAGTTTTTGCTTTGCTTTTATTTCTTAATGAAACATGACACAGGCTGGGCATGGTGGCTCATGCCTGTACTCCCAGCACTTTGGGAGGCTAAGGCATGAGGATTGCTTAAGGCCAGGAGTTTGAGACCAGCCTGGGCAAAAGCGAGACCCCCATCTCTACAAGCTGTAGAAAAATTAGCCCAGCATGGTGGCACACACCTGCAGTCTCAGCTAATTGGAAGGCTAAGGTAGGAGGATTGCTTGAGCCCAGGAGTTCGAGGGTGCAGTGAGCTATGATGAAGCCACCGTACTCTAGCCTGGGAGACAGAGAGATCCTATCTCAAAACACAAACCAAAAAAACCCCAGAACAAAAAAACAAAAAAAACTTGACACAGAAACTCTCAAGTATGAACAGAGAGATGATATGGCCAAATTAGAGTGTTGCCCTTTTATCTTTAAAGATTCTTTCGACTCAGAGTCCATTTCTGGTATAATCTTCATTCCTAACCACCCTTCATCCCAATCACCAATAGCCTCTAAAATTAGTAAAACCAAAGTATGAAACACAAACTTACTGAGAACTGTTTGTGTGCAAATACTATCTACTTATAATCACCATGAGGAATATGCTATTTATAGTTTTTCACATAGGTTTCATGAATTTATACATTTAAATTAGCTATGTGAGCTACTCCCGTTCCCATTTTTATAAGTAAGTCTGTTAGTGATTCTCTAAAT